ATATTCATCGCCCTGATGACGGAGGCAGTATGACCTCTGAAACGTTGGTTAACATCGACCAGACTACACAGCGCAACAACCCAGAAGACAGAAATCTTCATATTCACCGCTGTGAGAACCTCAAGTCTTACAACCTGAGGATTGTACACGCCTATCACACACACAGTCACCTATCTGGCAATTCACCCCCATGTGTACCCCTTGTAATGCAGAACTTAGTATCAGACATGTCCTCCTGGACTGCCCAAGGCACACCGCTAGTCGCCAGATATTTCACCTGCCAAACACTCTGAGAAATGCTAGGCGACTATCCTGAAATTTTAAAACAAGTATTTGCCTTCCTACATGACACCTTTATCTTATATTATGATTCTAAGATCAACTGGTGCGTAATCGACCAGTGTATAAAAGCATGTTTTAGCGTTTCAACTACCACATACGCGCTGACAGCCAGAACAACAGAAGTGCCTACAGAACTACTACAACTATTATTACTATTATTACTACTACTACTACTACTGCTACTACTACCACTACAACACATGGGTACAATGCTGCCAATATGTGAATATATAATATCATGACATTATTGTTTTACGCTTGTAATTGTAAGAGATAAGAGAATAGATGTAAGTTCAGTTCCATTCATACTCTGTTTTAGGATGTTACACGAGCTCGAATGTTCTTTGTTTCGATATTAGTCCATATTATGTGACTTGTAAGGTGTCTAACGTAGTACAATATTTTTCATAAATTGATTTTGCAAGGAACCAATCAAAACACACCACATCTAGTGCATCCAGTTTTCTGCCATACAGTAAGAATAATGGCTACTGTTTGTGTGTTTATTCTTGTAGCGGTCAATTTATTGTACATTACAATTGTGTTTGCAGGGTGAGTAGTTATAATGTTGGGTGATGTATATGTAATTTATCACATGCTATATAAATCTTTTATATTTTTGTTCAGTACAGTAATTATTCTTATACCGGCAGAATAGTATAGGTTAACCAACTACTTTCAACTGACGTTACTGAGAGAAATGTTGAAGAATTCATCACCAATCGTGTCATGTTTACAGCCGAGACTTCTATGCTATTTTGGGCGTACCAAGAAATGCCAACACAAATCAAATTAAGAAGGCTTATCGCACTTTAGCAAAAGAGCTACACCCTGACAAAAATCAAGATGACCCTGATGCATCAAGGAAGTTCCAGGACTTAGGTGCAGCATATGAAGTCTTGTCAGATTCAGAAAAGCGCGAGACGTACGATCGGTGTGGTGAGGACTGCCTCAAGAAAGATGGTATGATGAATGGTGCTGATCCATTTGCTAGCTTCTTTGGTGATTTTGGTTTCAATTTTGGTGGAGGCTCACATAGCCAGCAGGAGACACCTAGAGGTGCAGATATAGTAATGGATCTGTATGTGTCATTGGAGGAACTCTACAGTGGTAATTTTGTAGAAGTAAGTGTCAGTTAAACACAGTTTTGTTTTGAAGACTTTGTGGGATGTCTGCTTTTCCATTCTTACCTATCATGTTCCTCTTTCTCAGGAGTCTCATTAACTATCAAGTCATAGAATAAAGTTTATTTACATTCCATATATTCTTCATAAGGCCAAGCCAAGGATGTAGAGCATGTCATAACACAAATACAATACTCTAATAAAATCCTCTTAGGCCATCAGCCGTGTCAAATGGTTAAAAGTCACCATTGTTTTGAGGGCCATCTCTGCCCTCATCATCAAGGCTAGTCACAACAGTGTGCTCAAACCAACCCACTTATGTACCTGGTCATGGCTTGTGCACAGATCTGAGTGTGAGCCAATGGGTGCCTAGTGGGCAGAGTCTTGTTCTAATACAAATATAAGTTACAAAGTTATGACAGTAATTTACAGTCAACTACAGTATTACCACAAAAATTATACATTAAAGTATACCTACTATTGCTGACATGTATTTATAATAGCTGAGAATTTTTGGTTGAGGTAATTCTTCTATGGAGTAGGAGTAAGTTAGGAGCTACTCTTTTAATGCTTGCTTAAACTTTTTTATATTGTGATTGAATAGTTTTATTCCAGTATAATAAACTCCTTTTTGATATTAAATGAGTTTAGTATTTGTGATATATAAGGTTATATGTGTTTTTTACTTATATTGTGGATATCTGAGTATGTCTAAAAATTTTCTGTGTTGTCCACTACAGATTATGATAATGAGAGTAAGAATTTGCTAGCTAGTGGAAAAATATTAAATTTCTTAAACAATAGTGTATTGCTTTCATATATTTTCAGAATTTAGGAAATAGCCAACCTGTTTCAAACATCTTAATTTAGATTTGTTCAAGTAGAATCTTGTAGAGCAATTCGTAAGTCAGAACTGAACCTCACTGCCTGCTGTGCAATTTTACATGTACTTGTCTCCAGTAATATAATTTGTTATTCATTGCTAAGTCATAAAATGGCTATAAGTCAGAATTTCTACTGTCCGCAAGACAATGGAATAGATGTCGCTTGAAGGGCAGGAGAAGGCAGAGTTAGTGATACTGTAGCACTAAAAGACATTTGCCCCATCCTTGCTGTTTCTTATGCACTTCCATCATTACTGGAACAATCCACAGAACACTAACCCATGATGATTTTACAGTGAACAATAACTTACTAATGACAGATTTACAGATATGTACACATAAGCAACGAAGCAAAAAAGTTGGGCCTGATGTTTTCCTTTTAATAATTATTGTGCATGCAGTCACCATAGAAGCTCATGACTATTATGTTCTCTTGTCTACAGTACTTGTACTTAAATTACATCAATAGAGTTGTCCTACATAATATCAATTTTGCTAACATGTAAAAGCAGCATCTGTTAAAAACTGTAGCCAGAAATTAAAAAAGTTATGCAGCACAGTAAAAAAATTAACATGATCTAATCACGTATGATGTTATGAATCATCACTTTAGATGTGAACATTTTACGTGCCCAGTATATCAAATCATATAATTCAATACAATTTGTTTCATAGATCACTCATAATAAGCCAGTGATGAAAGCAGCAAAGGGCACAAGAAAATGTAATTGCCGTCAAGAGATGGTGACAAGGCACTTGGGCCCAGGTCGGTTTCAGATGATGCAACAAACAGTTTGCGACGAGTGTCCAAATGTTAAGTAAGTAAATAGTTTTCAGTTTAGCGTTGACATGACAAATGGATGTGGGAGGAAAAATTATGCAGTAAATAGGTATTCAGCTCCAATTGTACACAGAATTGTGTGTTAATGCGGTCGATGCATTCAGTTTATGTATAATGACGCTGTGTGATGCTAATTATGTGTGTATTTCTGCTCTTTAAGTAGACATTTTGGCTGATTTAGTCTTCTCTGTCAGCTGCAGAATTTCATCATGAGCTCTTTATAAAAATGTTCATGCATTTAGATGAAGTGTCCAGTTCACTGTGACAGTTCTTGAATTCTATGTATAACAGTGGGACAATATTAAACATGCTGTCTTCTGTTAATAGTCTCAAAATTGTTATCTAAAATGAATAGAAAGTTATAAGGTAGACTTTTATAATTCATCCACCAATGTCTGTTAATGCATAAAAATATTTATAGTAGTAATTGTTTCATAATTGAAGTCATTTTAAACTGTTTCTTATTTCCATTGTGTACAAAAAAGGTAAAAGTCTCACATTTCCTTTTTAGATTGGTAAATGAAGAACGGACATTAGAAATTGAAATTGAGGCTGGCATGGTGGATGGGCAGGAATCAAAGTTTATTGCCGAAGGAGAACCCCATTTGGATGGAGAGCCAGGGGATCTAGTGCTAAGAATCAAAACTATGCCACATGCAGTATTTGAGCGACGTGACGATGATTTATATACAAATGTCACTTTGTCTCTACAAGATGCTCTTGTTGGCTTTGTAATGGAGATAGAGCATTTAGATGGGCACATAGTTCAAGTGTCTCGTGACAAGGTGACGTGGCCGGGAGCCAGAATACGGAAGAAAGGAGAAGGAATGCCAAATTACCACAATAATAACCTTCATGGTACACTCTACATAACTTTTGATGTAGAATTTCCAAAATCGGAGCTCTCTGAAGAGGATAAGAAAGGTAATTCTTACAGTTGTTAGCAATAAAATCTTGCTGTATTGCTGCCATTAATTTGGTGGTAATGAAAAGTCACAGGAGACAAACCTAAAATGGGTATGCCCAGGCAGTGCAGGTTTAAGTTGAATACATTTCTTTAAAAACTTTTAAGAACTTATGAAATCAAAGGATTTAAAAATGCCAGTGGTACGCTGAAAAAAAATAGAGTATGAGACTTAATTTTAGTTCTTATTCCCTTATATTAAAGATATTTCCTTTTCAAACAACTTTTCCGTAATGAAACGATACGTACTACGAGTATGATTAACTGGTCTCAGTTATTTTGACCAAACTAATACATCCTAAGTTGTCTAACTTGTATACCTATTTGGTTTGACAAACATTTATTAATAGCGTTCATACTCCCATATGTAACTGTTTGTAACTTTATGTAGAGCAGCTCAGCATTATGCCCTTCTAGCATGATACTATTAATATGCAGAATACAGTAGAGTGCTTTCTGTATGCACCAA